CAAGAGGCCAAGGTATTATGTCAATAAGCATTAGGCATGCATGGACTCAATTAATGTTTGCAAAAAGGCCAATAATAGCACCATTGTCCCCATTTTACAGGTAAGGGATCTCAGACATGAAAGCCCTCTGTGACTTACCAAGGTCACATAGCTAGCTAATACCAGAGGTGGGATTTGAACCAAGGATCAACACTATGCTCTAATACCCTTCTGGCACGAACAGCCTATAATGCTCTGTGACCATGAGACAGAGTCTTTGCAGATTACAGCCAGACCAAGATAAATACCTGTATCTCTCCTCTTTTTCTGATATTTTGGTGCTTTCTCTTTTGCTTGTCTCTTATCTCCCTGCATGGTCATCAATATTGTCTGTATTATCTACCAGTCATAGAGGCGAATGATTTCCTTTTCTGTGCTGATACTATCCCTACTGACATCGCAGGAGAGAGACAGGCTGTTGTCTTGGAGCAGACGTGATCATTCCAGCCGCTTAATGTCCTTGCCCTCAGGATCCAGAGCTAGGAAAGTCGTCCAGAGACGCCCGTATCCAAGAGCTTTGAGGTTCCTGCCTTTCCTCCTCCTCTGTTCAGGCCAAGAGTCCCGGAGGTCCTCACGTCCTCTCTATCTGTTTCTTTTAATGATGCCTTCTCTATTAAACTCTTGCTCATTCTTTCCACCGTGAAATGTCAGCTTACCACTCAGGGAGCATTCGTATGTGGCCTTCTTTTAAACCCCGACTTCCCAATTCAACTTTCTAGAGAATTTGTGGTCCTCATACCATTCCTATTTAGGACCTTTCAGCATCTTTGAACCAAGCATGCAGGGGCAACACAACACAGTGGTGGAGAGTAGTAACTCGGGAGCCAGACTGCGTAGTTCAAATCCCAGCGCTTCCATGAACTAGTGCTGTAACCTTGGGTATGTTACTTCCCTATGTCTCAGTTTCCTGTCTATTTTATGGAAGTGATATTGAAAATTACAATAGTACCTTCCTTACAGAGTAGTTGAGGGGACTGAATGAGTTAAAATCCCAAAGTGTTTCAAACAATACCTAGCACTCAATAAACATTAACTGCAGTTTTCTGTATGTCCCATGGGAAATGCATCTCAAATGAGACTCTATTGCCTTCTAAGGGTACACACTGATGGGTAAGAAGGAAGGGAGATGACTAAAATAACTGTGAAATGGAGAAAAATTTTTTAAGATCGCCATAAGCAAGAGGACAGAAATAACTAACAATTTTATGACACTCTTTGCGTTGCAATGTGCTTTCATTCACTGTACAAGACATGGTGGTTGTAACTGGCCCCAGGGGAAACAAGAAAGGGTTCCAAGCCCCATTTCACAGGTGAGAGGTGAAGTCACAGGGAAAAGGGAGCTCTGAGGCCATAGTAACGGTTTCCGGCTTGATAGCCAGAGTCTAAGTCAGTATGCTGCCCCTTGATGAAAACAAACACATAAGAAATAAATAAAAATTCAGTTCAACACAAAACACTTCTAAGTTGAATACGATTCACTCTTCTTCCCATCTGCCTTTTCAGTTGCTCCCTGAGTTCTAATTTCAAGGACCTTCCCTAGGGGAAGGGCATTGATTTGCCAGAGTCTGGAAAGCATGAACAATTACAACGAGCTTTGGTGGAGAAGGCAAAGGGGAACCTGCAGCACATATAGGAGAATAATGCTTTCCTTCTGAAGAGGGCAGTGTGCAGCCATGGCCAGGTCTGCTCCCACACTCTGGGTTTCTTTTCACATCTTAAAGGCCAGAGGCAGTCCAGCCCTCAGGTGCCCAGGCATCTTGAGTTTCCAAGAGCTTATTTCTGACTGACAAACACATCTTCAGACATGAAACAGGATTCTTGGAGTTTGAGCACAGTTACACACCGCTGCTAGTCCAAGGGTACAAAAGTGCAAACTGATACTAAGGTGGTTATGCTAGATGGATGAAAGAAACCTCCAGGATTTCTTCTCCATGCTCACGCACTTGCCTGCCCTCCCAGCCGGCCTCCTGGAAGAAATGGAACAGCAGCACAGTATCCCAGATGGTCTCTACTGTTTGTAGAAGAAAGTGTTTCTTTTTCTACCAAGACAGGCACAATGTGGTTTCTGTTGCCTAAAGCAAAATACCTTTCCACAAACATCCTTTGCACAGAGGTAAAATGTGAGGAATAGAGCTCTCAGCTCCTGAGATGCATGTATCAAGCCAATCACAGTAATTATAATTAGAACATAAACTAAGTGAAAGGTAAGCATGAAACACAGTTGCAGAAAACCTGACTTGCATACAATTAAGCCCTGCTTGGTGGCATTTGAAAGTATGACATTAACGAATTTCCGGGGTGAGGGAGATTGATGTTTCCTTAAGTATCTTTGCCTAGTTGCATCAAAGGCTTCAAGGGCAATGAGGAGGGAAGAATAAAGATATACATAATTTACTCCTGAACTCAGACCTGTAAAACAGATGTCTGAAGTCAGTTTAACTGGTTATTTAAAATATTTCCATCAGATACATTGTAAATATATTCACTGGTAGTGTAGTGCCTAAGGTACTTGACTGCTAACCAGAAGGCTAGCAGTTCAAACCCACCAGCCACTCCTCAGAAGGAAGATTGGGCAATCTACTTCCGTAGTGATACCACCTTGGAAACCCAAGGAGGGCTCGCTATGAGTCAGGGCCAACTCGATGGCACATAACAACAACAACATTAATTTAACCTAGGTTTATCTTCGCAAGTGGCGAAGATTTTTAGTATCAAGTCCTAGCCTCAATTTTGGGAATACATTTGGCCAAAATCGTTGAAAATCCTTCCATGTTCTCCACTGTCTGGAGAAGAATGTCCATTCTCCTTAGGGACCTTCGGTTCAGGTGTCAGCTCTTCTGTAAAGTCTTTCCCCTCTCCCAATCCTGATTTTCTCAGCTGTCATGCTGGGGTTTCATTGTGTCTTTACCTATGTGTGTTTTCTCCCCTTGGAGGTGAGAGACTTTTGCCTCTAAACTGGGTCTCCAGCACTTGACCCAGCACAGAGTAGGTGCTTGGAAATTACTCAATGAAGAATGAGCAGACAAATAAGTGAATGAATGAATGGGCTTTACTACCTCCTTAGGGCAAATGAAAGCTCACAGACCACTCACAGTTCACGAGTGAGCTCAGTGCTGTCTAGTCTTCATGCCATTGCTCATAGGCTCAAATCTGTCCTTGTGGGTCCAGCTCAAACCTTCTCCTCCAGAAAACACCTCATCTCTCCCTCCCCCAGATCGAAGTCAGCTGACTCTGCAATGGCAACTCTGGACTCTTCTGCAGGAGAATACCTAAGGAGAGGCAATTTGAGTTGGGAAGGACATGTGGGGTGTGTGTGTGTGTGTGTGTGTGTGTGTGTGGTGGGGGAAGAAGCTACGGACAACTAAGAGAGTCTTCAGAAAGCCACATCTGCGTAACAGCACAGGGCCTTCCCTTAGATTGTTTTTTGGGGATGAACTGAGGGCGTACTCTCTCTCTGCTTTTTTCCTCTAAAATACCGAACACTTCAGACTCAGTTCTCCACCTTAAAAAGGGCTGCTCTTTTCCTCTGCAAAAGTTTGTATATGTATAAACTTTTATTTTGAGATAGTTACAGATTTGAGCCATCTCATGTACTCTTTACCCCGTTTTCCCAGTGTTGATACTTTGCATAACTATATATAGTTCATCACAACCAGGGCACTGACATTGACACAACCCACCCACCTGACTCGGTTGCACCAGTTTTACATGCACTCGTGTGTGTGTGTGTGTGTGTGTGTGTGTGTTTACTTTTTATTTCTGAAAACAGCTCTTTCCTCCCCTGAGCCTGGGCAGGGGTCCAGTCTGATCTATCCCTGCAGAGGAGTAGGGTCCGCAGGTACCAGTATATGCTAGTACCCTGGGTGACACATGCTACTGCCTACAGTGGGTGCCCAACAAACGTCCACATAAACACTTGAACTTGTATGTCAGTGCGTGTGCAACGGGGAAGAGCAGCATTTTAATGTAGCGAACCGACTCCAAGATACTCAGTATTTCGGAAGAAAAAAGTTGGTTATTTTCCCCACAATTGTGAATTAGCTAGTGGCTAATTGTTCCAATGCGATCAGGATGCACACGCTCTGATCTCCAAGGAGTACATCTTTGGAGCCCTACCCCCACCTCACTAGGGCTGGAGAAGTTGGGAGGGGGGCCTTGCAGTGCCCCCAGGGCTCCTCCTACCCCTACCCCCACTTTCACCCCTTTCTTCCCCAGGGCTGGACTGTTTCACCCCGTCTCCAGGCAACCGCCAGGCGCGAGGCGGGACGTCATTTCCTGAAGAGCCCGCGGGGGGAGGGGCGAGGCGAGGGGGAGGGGCGAGGGGGCGGGGCCAAGGCTGGGCTGGCGGCAGTGAAGGCGTCGGAACTCACTGGAAGACGCTGCCCCGGGCGGCTCAACAGTTCGCAGAAAGTCTGGGCCCGCGGCCGCACGGCTCTGCCTGTGCCCCCAAGGCGCAGGGGCACGGGGTCCCGGGCGGCTGCATCCGCGTGCTGCCCTGGACATGCCCTGCACCCCCTGCCGAACGCCCGTGCGGCTTCAGCTTGGGCGCCTCTGGGACTAAAGCGCCCCCCGCTCCAACTTCTGACTTTGGGGTCCCCCAGCCCAAAAGGAAGCGCAGCCTGGCTGGGGGAGCCCCGGGTATGGTGTGACGGGGCGGTGAGCTTTGCTGCGCCCCCGACTCCAGCCACCCGTGGTCTCTGTGCCCTCTAGAATGTAGCTGCTCTCCCCGTGCACCCCGGATTCCGCCGCCTTCTCCGCGTCCCCCGAACTCCAGCCGCTGACTTTGCGTCCCCTGGACTCTGCTGCCGGCTCCACGACCCCAGCTGTCTGCGCGAACCCTCGGCATCCAGCCTCTGTCTCCGCGCCCCTCCCACCAAGACTCCAGTGGCCGTCTCCGTGCTCCCGGGGGGATCAAGCTGCCGTGCCAGTGGCCGCGAGTGCAGCAGCTGCCCCACCGTGCGCCCCAAGTCCGTCCGGGCCTCGGCGGGGAGATGAACGCGCAGCTGGACGGCCTGTCGGTGAGCTCGTCCTCCACCGGCTCGCTGGGCTTGGCGGCCGGGCCGGGCGGCGGCGGGGGCTCGGGGCTGCGGCTGCTGTCGGCCAACGTGCGGCAGCTGCACCAGGCGCTGACCACGCTGCTGAACGAGGCGGAGCGGGAGCAGTTCACCCACTGCCTGAACGCGTACCACGCGCGCCGCAACGTCTTCGACCTGGTTCGCACCCTGCGTGTCCTGCTGGACAGCCCGGTCAAGCGGCGCCTGCTGCCCATGCTGCGCCTGGTCATCCCGCGCTCCGACCAGCTGCTGTTCGACCAGTACACCGCCGAGGGCCTCTACCTGCCCGCTACCGCCCCCTACAGGCCGCCCGTCTGGGTTGGCCCCGACGGCGCGGTGCCCGGGGAGGTGCGTCTAGTGAGCCTGCGGCGCGCCAAGGCCCACGAGGGCTTGGGCTTCAGCATCCGCGGGGGCTCGGAGCACGGCGTAGGAATCTACGTGTCGCTGGTGGAGCCAGGCTCACTGGCAGAAAAGGAAGGGCTGCGGGTCGGGGACCAGATTCTGCGCGTCAACGACAAATCTCTGGCCCGGGTTACCCACGCTGAGGCCGTCAAGGTAGGGCTGTGGTTGGAGGAGGTTTACGGGCTCAGTGGCACAGCTCTTTCAGCGGTTTACATGCTGTGTGCCCTTAGGCAAATTACAAACCTCTCTGGGCTCCATTTTACTTAAATTTAAAAACAAGGTGATTTACTTTATGCAGCAAGATTATGTCAGGCACTGGGGATGCAGTGAGGGGAAAACAGACTTGGACCCTGCCCTCTGGGGCTTAAAGGCAAGTGTGGGAGACAGATGTTATCAAATACTCGGCGTTATGTATGATGACAAAGTGTGGAAAATGTGGATTCTCGTGAGGGGTAGGAAAGGTAAGGATGAATGCTTGGCATATCGGAAGTACTCAGTGAGTGGTCTCCGTTGCTCCTGCCCTTATAACCCTCTAGGCTTTTACCCTTGAAAGAAAGTTTTGCTGTCTCTTAAGAGCGGGACTGGGGGAGAGTGGGTGCTGGGCAGAGCCCTGGCCCCACTGGGCTGTTTGTGGAGGCGGCTATGTATTCTGTCTGGGACAAGTGGCTTGCCCTCTAGGAACTGCCAGTTCTCCCCTTGGAAAATGGGGCAGCCGGACAGTATAAATGGCCCCTAATGTCAAAAATAAATATCCTAGTCCCTGTGAGAGCACTTGCACATTTTGTGTTTGCTAATTGAGAAAATGTCTCACAACATATTTCTAGGGATTTAATCCTGCTGTTTAAAGGAATGTGCGTGTTCTCCAGTCTCCTGACCCAGGGTCATTGAAAACCAGTTGAAGTAAGAGATGCACGGTGTTTGGTCCATATATGGATTCAGGGACCCCTGCGGCGTCCTCCACTCTCCCTCTTTGTGTGTAAGAAGTGAAGAGTTTTTGGAAAAAGCACAGTGACACAGGCTTTGTTTTTGCAGTGAAACCTCCTCAAGGATTTGACTTGGCTTGTGACCCACCCCCTCCCTTGCCATGTCCCTTGCTCTTTTCCTGTCTTCCTGGATGAAGGTATCTTGAGCTGCAGCTGGAGGGCCTGTTGCCTTCTGGGGACTGACAGGTGTAGGGGCCTAGAGTGACTTCTTGGGTGCCAATCAGTGACCTGCAGCCAGGTGTGTTCTTGACTCTCTTGACAGTACCTGGGACACCTCCACTTCATCTCTGACCTTGGCTTCCCTCAATTTTCCCTTCAGTTTGCACCTTGTTGGTCTCTTTGGGGAGGCCTGAAGATTTGGAAAATGCCTTGCAGCTTTTGGAAGGCAGGTTGGTTTATATTGTTAGGAGGGCAGCAGACGGCTCCCTGTGTGTTTCCGTGCCCCCAGTCCTGGCCTCCACCCCTTCACTTTATCTGACATTACATAGATTTATAAAGGAACATTAACCTTGGCCCGAAGGTAGCGCAGTTCCCAGGTGATAAATTTATACTCTTAAAGATTCTTGATCCAAATGATGATTTATACATTTGCACTCAATTTGAGTATCAATTTAAAAAGACGCTGGTAACTTAATCATCACAGGGTGATAGACTTTAGAAGGGCCAACCGGTAACCCAGTCCTTAAAAACACTGACTCTTCTTTCAGTTCCCACTCTAGACTCAACTGTGCGACAAGTGTCTTGCCGTTGGCCCTTTGCAGGGCCTCCCCATGCTGCCCCCTCCCCGTAGTTTCTTTGACAGCTTTCTGACCCTTCTGTCTGAATGTCCCTGACTATACCTTGTGCCCTTGGTGACTTAGAGCCAGGCCTTAGCTGGCTTATTTGCCCTCATTGCTTCCAGAGTAAAACCTAAACTCTCTCGGCATGGTTTTGAAGCCGAGAACTAATACTTGCCCCTAAACGAGAGGCTGGTAAGAGCAGAAATACCCTTAAACTGTGGGGCCTGTGGCCCAGGAGCGTGTGTGGGCTGCGGCCACGTTCATCCCTGGCTGTCATTTTTCTCCAGGAGGCCATTGCTAGGGCAGAAGCAGCGCCAGCCTCAGGTTTGCCCCTCCCTCCTCCATCCAGTCCCAGACACAGCACCTGCTTGGGACAGACCCCTTTGGACCCTTCAGAAGCAACAGGCAAATGAATGCTGTTTTGTGTCACCTTGACGCCAGGGGAAAGAGGGGACAGACTTTTGATGGGTGGAATTTAAAACGGAGGAGGTGGGACTTAGTGTCTGAGGCCACCTTGCCTAGAGTAGCAAGCTGAGCAGGTATTTTCAGGGACAATTGGAAAGAACAACTGGTGAGCTATTAACACATTTCCAGAAAATTCAGAGTCTTAAGTCCCTTAACTGAAGGCCAAGAGAGACCCCAGCTTCTCCGCTGGGGACACACTGCCCCTAACCAGGATTTCTGCCCTGGAGCCCTTCCTTGTAAGCTGCAGTGCTGTAGGGCACAGCGTCTGGGATTTTACTGTGAAAGTGACCCATCAGGTTGCCTGCATTTGCTTGATGGCTTTCCATCTCATGTCCCCAGAGTGGGCCCTGCTTTCCTCGTTGCTCCTGACTGCGCGCCGCTGATAGGAACGGTCAGCTCTGATAGGTTTATTTTCTTTCGCGCCGCTGATAGGAATGGTCAGCTCTGATAGGTTTTTTTTTTTTTTTTAATCACAGGCTCTTTTGAAAGATGTGTTTCTTGGGGGATTGCTGTATTACTGTTTTTTTTAAAGTAAACTTTTAGGTATGTAAATTTTTTTATTCTAGAGTAATTTTAGATTTATGGAAAAGTTGCAAAGATAATACAGAGAATTCCCTGTATACTTAACTCAGCATCCCTAATGATAACATCTTACGTAACCATGGTACATTTGGTTAAGAACTAACATTGATACATGACTATTAACTGAATTTCAAACTTTGTTTGAACTTCACCAGTTTTTCCCCTATTGTCCTCTTTCTCTGAGACCATGTTGCACTTGGTAGAAGATGTGTTTTCAAGCTTAACATCTTTTTCTTTTGCAGGTAGAAGGAAGAAGAAAGATTAGTATTCCAAACCAAGAGATTGATTTGACTGACTGATTGATTGTGTGTGTGTGTCATAAAAAGAAAATAACATTCTAGGAATCGGGTTATGTCAGAGAGATGAAAAGAGAGTTTATTAACTGGCATGGATCACCTCCTCCAGTGAACAGCTCTTTAAAGAAGAGGTTGAATGGATAAAGTTTGCTCCTCTTCTCTCCCTAGCCAATCAGGCACCCGTCGTTTCCCAGAGTGGTGCAGTGAGGACCCATCCGGCTGGTGGGGCTTCTTCACCTTCCTCTACTGAAGCCTCTTTGCTGAATTAGCAGTGACAGGTCCAGATAAAGACAAGCCATTTACTATTTGCAATTATGTTGAAACCTTTGATTCTCGGGGGGAAAAAAATCAATCTTGAATGAAGAGGAGCCAAACTAATCATAATAAAAAAAAAGTGGCCCTTTCAGAGGTTTTTTAGCCAAAAAAGCTTGATAAATTAGCCAAGGAGTCTACAGACCAGGATGCTGCCTTGGACTATGCCACTCGCTGTGTGACCTTAAATGAGTTACTATCCCCCTCTGTGCCAAGGCGGATGGATTATGGGCTGTATAAAGTCCCATCTAGCTGAGACAGTCTGTGATTTGTTCTTTATGGGCTACACAGAAGGTTAGAAAGTCTAATCGGATTTTTTTTTTGTTGTTGTTCTTTTGGAATTGCTTTCGTTTAAAGCAGAATAAAGAAAGTTGGCTAAGGATTGGGAGATGAGAATCTTGGCACTCTGTAGCCTCCTACTGAATCAGGAAATTGATGGCTTACACACTGTACTGATGAGAACTTGACGGCTGTCCCTCGACCCAAGAACACCAGCCCCTGTGCTATTCCAGGATAAATGAGAAGACAACTGTAGGATTCTGGCATAAACAGTCCTGCCCTGGGAACATTCAAAATCCAGTTCCTACCCGATTGCTGTCTGAGTCCCCTGATTCGGCGGGTGGTGGAACACAGGCTATCCAGGTGCTGCTGGGATATGCATGTGTGTATGTGCGTGCTTCATCTCGATGAAAATTAAACGACTTCGTTACAGTCTCAGCATCCTCATGGGTACATCCAAGTAGCATATTAGAATGCGAAAACGCTCCGGAAGTTAAAACCATCCCTGGCCCTTTCATTTAATTAGAATGATCACACCCTCCCTTTGCATAGTAACCCTGAAGAATCTGTCCATATTAATATAAGTCATTATATTTGGTCTGGCAGGTTCTAAATGACACATTTGTCATTTTCTCACTGCACACAGTTAGCTGAAGCCCCGACAGTTTATTACGACTGCCAACTTTGTATCTGAGATGCAGCTTCTCCCATTGGTCTCATTCCTATATTCCAATTTGGAAACTATGGATAATTCTTTCATGGGTATGCACAGACTTTTCCTCTGGCCCTGGATTCATTCCTGGGTCCTGTGAGCCCTGCCAGTGATGACATGTTGAAAGCTCACTATTTATAAACCCTTTATTGAATAGAGTTTTGGTTGCTGCAAATCCAAACAAGTGTGATGCAGTACACCGAGTCCATTTCTTTAATTTAGTCATATATATTTATTTGGCTCAAGCTGACACTCGGGGTTTTAGAAAATGATGGTGCCTTATAGGGGAAAAAAAAATCTTACAACTGGTTATTTACTGTTCACATCAAAGAAGATTTTTGTAGAGTGGAAAAGAACGCTTTTTTTTTTTTTTAAAAAGAATCGATTTTTTTTTTTAATAGAAAATTTCAGACTGAAGCTGGACATGAAAGAGATCTAGAATCACCCTTCTCTGTGCTTTCCTCCCCTTCCCCTCTGCTGACAGACCCAGTGTTTATTACCTGCCAGATTCATCATTTGGATGGAGCTTCACAGAGGAGTTGAATCCTTTAACCCCTAGCCAATTGGGTTCTGTGTGTGTTGTTGCTCCCCACCTCCGCCTGCCTGCAGCTCACAGTCCACAGCCTGTAGGCACCTTTCAAGCATGCAGAGCCCTTTACCTGTGTGTCTGCTCACGTGTGCACATGCATGTCTCCTCGGAGCCATAATCCCACCCCTCCCCTGCAAAGGGCTGTGGTGGAAGCAG